TTGTGACTAAAAAAAACATGCTTTTCGAGTACTACATTATCTTCTCCATGTATTTTCAACCTGCCTAGCATGGTCAGATTTAACCCATGATACATATTTTCAGTTGCTCATGGAGCCCTAGTCATCTGAAGTTCAACTTCTGCATCCAAACTGGGTTTTATCTGTTTTATCTATTTTGGAAAGGAAGAAAAAAAAAAACTGGAACCTTGAGGTCTTTTCCAGAAGACCACCATCAAATCAGTCATTCCCAGTATAGTCACCCACAAATATGATGATGAGACCTGCCAGCCAGACAGAACATTGACTTGTAAGAAGTGAGTGGACATCAATGACTCCCCCTTTCTGGACCAATCACGGCACAGACAGAGGAACAGTTGGATGCACATGAGGGTTGAATGTGGTTTTGGTTTATTTTAACAACTTTTAAATGCTGACACATCATTAGTGATGCACATGCATATTATGATTCATGCCATTGTTATGAGTGTGCAGCCTTTTTTTAAACATCTCTGAGACAGACGATTCAACATCCGTGGCATCAGTCATGGACTCACGTTACATAGTCTCACATGTCTTTGCTGTCTGTGGCATGCCATGCGTTGATACATATAATAGCACATTGCCGCCCATGTATCCTGTTTGGAAACATAATTTGTCATTTGTGTATTCTCGAAAACCTTATAAAGTAAGCACAGCAGTGCATCATGCTGACACACGAGCCATGCTAACTGCATTAGCACTCATTGTATTATCATTATCATTAGTGTTAGTAGTTCTTGAAGTCGAAAAGCCACTGCTACTCCTGTTCATAGCAGTTATTAAGGTGTCTTTGGAATATAAATGAGAAAATTATGACTAAATTTCATGTCCCAGTGTTGCAGTGAGCGTAAACTGGCTGACCTGCCTTCAGGGGCGTCTAATGAATTATTACACAAGGTTCTGGAATACTCCTTTCTGATTGGTCAATCTCGCCATCCAGTGGTCTGATATTGACCATTGGTGATTTTTGTCCAGAGGCGCAAACCCCGCCGCTTCCAGACGATTCTAAAGATTACACTGATCATGTCAATCCCTTCTCTAAACCTCAGCATAGGAAATCCTTATAGAAAGCATTATAGTTTAATGCGATTTGATCCATCTATGGACTCTTTTTCTGAACTTTGAACTTAACCCATGAAGTCTGAACTATTCTTGATGGGAGGCTGCATGAACTGACCAATGAAATCAGCTGTGGGGCGGGCTTTGCACCTCGTGTTCTCATTTCATACACAACTGGAGGCATCTTGAGTTATGGCTGTGTCCAAAATCACCCTCTATATCCTTATGTAATGCACTATTTGGTGGCACAGCCATTTGTAGTGGTGTCCGAAACCAAAGTGGACATTACTGAGTGCACTCATTCGATCCCATGCACCAAAATAACAGACGTGCAGCCCATGTATTGTAGGAATTCAAAATTAATTTTATGCTGTGATAGTTGCAGTGTTTGTCTTATTGATTGGCCAGTTGTTTTATAATATATATATTGCTTCTTAGCAGACGATGATGTTTTCCTAGAAAATACTTTTCTATTTCAAAAAGTCATGAGTAATTCAAAGTGTTAGCAAGTGTTACTTGCCATTTCTTTGTAATTATTTGTGAAAATTACTAGCAATTTCTGAGTGAAAGTTGTTTTAAAGTAAATCCCACACCGTTTTTCGAGTGTAACATTTTAAATTAATTTAACATTTTAAATCATTATTACGTGTCTATGTTTTTTGGTCCGTAACTATGTAATAAGAGGAATTATGTACAGCCATCGCTGGTGTCAGTTTAGAGCTAAATCTAGTAATATAGACAACAAAAGGTCTTTGTAGGGACTACGAAATACACCAGCTTTTTGGCATATACTGTGCTATAAAGCTGAGACGAACAAAAGATCCGGAACTGTCCGGCTGGTGCTTAAAAACCCCTGCCCTCAACAACGGGCAGACAGAGTGGAAAAACTACAGGCCAATTGACGTAGAACTAGGCGCACGTCAATCAGCACAGTTAGCGCTATTTATTACCTTCAGCCTGGAAGCTGTGTTTACTGCGGCACGCAGCTCGCTTTCACATAGCTTGGGAGGACAGGGAGGCCCTGCCCACATCCCCTCAAGCCCACTTAGGGCCCCTAACCAGTGGGTGAGAGCTTTCCATGAGGTCAAACAAACACATTTGACCCACAGAACAGCAGGAGAGAGAGGTCTGTAAGAGAGGGTAATGGTACAATTACCATGTTCCCATGATGAAAGAAACAGCTAGTGTTTCATAAATGCACTAATTCCTGATGCAATTATATATCATCCTGTGCGTGTGGGGTGAAGGCTATTTGGCTCTCTTTTGTTACTCGACCTGGATGAATTCTTAGTGGGGGCAAACACTGCACAGCTACTTCAAAACATCCCCATGTCAGAGAGCTTGCAAAAGGCTCAGCCACATCAAAAAATCCATTCATTTTCCTAATAAGAGGGAAACCGTATGCAATGTGTAAACCTTTGTGCACTGAGAAACCATGATACTGTATGTGCAGATGTAATTCTTTGTGCAGAGATTGAGTTCTTGCATGGCCAGCATACTCACCGGATATGTCACCCATTGAGCATGTTTGGGATGCTCTGGATCGGCGTATACGACAGCGTGTTCGAGTTCCTGCCAATATCCAGCAACTTCGCACAGCCATTGAAGAGGAGTGGACCAACATTCCACAGGCCACAATCAACAACCTGATCAACTCTATGTGAAGGAGATGTGTTGCACTGCGTGAGGCAAATGGTGGTCACACCAGATACTGACTGGTTTTCGGACCCCCCAATACAGTAAAACTGCACATTTTAGAGTGGCCTTTTATTGTGGCCAGCCTAAGGCACACCTGTGCAATAATCATGCTGTCTAATCAGCATCTTGATATGCCACACCTGTGAGGTGGATGGATTATCTCGGCAAAGGAGAAGTGCTCACTAACACAGATTTAGACAGATTTGTGAACAATATTTGAGAGAAATAGGCCTTTTGTGTACATAGAAAAAGTCTTAGATCTTTGAGTTCAGCTCATGAAAAATGGGGCAAAAACAAAAGTGTTGCATTTATAATTTTGTTCAGTGTACTTATCTATCGTTCTATCTATAGTTCTATCGTTCTATATTTTGGGTCTTATTTGGGACTTATTTTTTGGGTCTGACAAACGAACTTGCATTAAGATTATGCAAAGTTTAGGGTTAGTGACATGGGAAGGGTGAATTGCATGTGAATATTTTGAAACCTTTCACACAGTAATACTAAAAAATGCAAATATGCATTATTATTATGACAGTACATGTCACTATTTACAATGAGGTGCTAATTAAGATCCATGTTTTCAATAGCAAGTACAAATAATGTTGTGTATTGCAGTATGAGAATTCTGCACTAAATGCTAACATTTGCCAACATTTCTTGGCTTCAAGAAAGTCCTAGATGATTCCTAATGACGCAGCGAATCGCACCCCACTGGAAAGTTGTCAAAACCAAAATCATAGTTGCCCGGGCTGCCAACAGCATCTTGTGATTTTCAGATCCCATTTCCCTGCATTGTGATGTCCTAAAAAAAACGACAGGCGCTGTTCAATTGCTATAAACGCACTACTACGTGAAGAGTCTCACAGAGATGGTAGGCTATTTGTGTCTATTAATGGGACAATAGAAATTATTAACATGATAATGGCTTCTTAAACTGCCTTTGTTTTTCAAAACAGCCACATTTGATTTTTTTATCTGTTTCCAGTAGCTGCTGGACATGTTGGCTCTTTCGACTTTTTATTTTTTTCTTTTTTCTTCAGCGTTTAATTGCCTATTCGTAAGTGAATCTTTATTTTTAATCGGCTCTTCTACCAGTTAAACCTAACCGCTCCGAAAGGTTTGATCAAAATTGGACTGAATAAATGATTAAATATCAGACTGAATCGGTAAGAGTATAGCTCTAAAGCAGGGGTGTCAAGCTCAATTCCTGCCGAGTTTAGATTCAACCCTAATTAAACACACCTGATCCAACTAATCAAGTCCTTCAGGCTTATTTGAAAACTACATGGTATGTGTGTTGGAGCAGGGTTGGAACAAAACTCTGCAGGGCTCCGGCCCTCCAGGAATTGAGTTTGACACCCCTGCTCTAAAGTTGACCGAATCGGTCGAAATTAAGGAAGCTTACATGTCTGACTCGCAGTGATTCGGGTTAGTATTCGGTTAGTACTCACTCCTTCAACTGAGAGCCGTCTCTTTCGATGCTTGACATGTAAAGAGAACCAATGAAAAACTGATTAGGTGAAAAGTACGTTTAATAACAGAAATGTTTACATAACTTAAATGTATGACAACTTTATAATAAAACACAATGGGATTTTAATGAGTGTTTAATTAGCCTAAAACTTGCAAAACCCTCTTCAGCTAAAATATTTTAGTGTTATTGTTAATGCTAAATAATGTTTTATTCTAAATTTGTTCTATGAGCCGAATCGTGGCTGCAACTAGGACATATGAACTTAAGAAAAACACCTTCCTATAATCTAATAGACAGAAATATTATAAACAACGATATTTGCCTACATGGCTCTATTGGCCTATTCTATGCCGGGATGTCAGGGTAGTCAACCGCTGAATCATTACTTGAACCGGTTCTTTAAAACGAACTGTTCGAAAGAACCGATTCGCAGAAATGAGTTGGACTTCCCTTCTCTAGCAGATGAGCATGCGCACACGCCTGGGTTTCAACGGCTCCACATCTGGAAATGTTGAGAGGAGAGAATCCCTCTCTTCGTCTGCCGTCGAGCTTGAGACGTGGTGCCTGCGTCACTCCATAGAGAGGCGGGGCTACACGGAGGTGTTTCCCGGCTTTATATAGATACAGAGACCTTTCCATCGCAAAGCAGTGCGTCACCAGAACCCCTGGAAACGAACATGCAAGTCCAGAACAGAAAATATAACGAGTTAGACAAACTGTATTAAAAGAATATTCATACAGTTGTGCGTTGTTATTGCATGCGCTTTTAAGTGTTTCGAAAGTGAGCTTTCAAATCAATTATACAGTTTTCTCGTGGCTGGAATACACCTTTATTGCGGTAGAAGTAAACATTTTTTATCACAGATATCTGGACTCGTTATATTGGGAAATAAAAGCCTCATCGGACACTGCCGTGCGTATTGGGAAAGTGCGTTGAACTTGGTGTGAGTTTACACTTCGCAAGCATGAAATCCGCAGAGGAAGGTAAGATTAAATGCATCCACTCATACCAAGTCATATTTCACCCTAATGTGTTTCTGTATTATTATTTTAATATTAGTATCACTGAACCTATTAATACGGATTCACGCATGCTTGCTTATGAATTTACCTTTCGTGATAATAAAATAAATCCAAATCTGCTATCGTGCACGCACTATTTGTTACTAGGGGAGACCTGGGAGTGTTGTAACACATTTGTTTTCAACTTCTCTAACTCCATGTGTATCGTGTGTCTCAAACTTTGACATAACGTTCCCATATTTGTCTGCTATAAATTAAAGTAATTAAAAAAAATCTGCGGCATGTTCCTAAACTGTGTAAATAAATGTCAGGTACAAAGACTGCTTTTGTAATTCATCCGACTAACGAGTGAGTTGTGACAGTAGGAGGGGTGGTTAACACTTTATAGAAAACATGGGCATTTTAATTTCTCATTTATTTCTTTTTAATAACTCACTGCCCCAATGCAATAATACATTGTATTTGCTAAATAAAGCTAAATAATATATAGCTATATAAATTATAGCTAATTAAATTAATCAATTAAAATACACACACACACACACACACACACACACACTCTAAAAAATGCTGGGTTGTTTCAACCCAACTTTAGGTCAAATATGGACTAACCCAACCCTTGGGTTAAATTTTTACATTAGATTTTTAACCCAAAAGTTGGGTTAGTCCATATTTGACCCAAAGTTGGGTTGAAACAACCCAGCATTTTTTAGAGTGCACACACACACACACACACACACACACACACACACACACACATATATATATATAGGAAAAGTTATGTTACAACCCTCCCCATGTTTGTTAATGATTCCACCCCAGAAGCTAATTTCTGATTAGTTATTGGTGGTGTTATAGCTTGCCCTGCTACTGCTCTGTTGTGGTTGTTGCTTTTTTTCTTTTTTTTTTTTGGTTTAGTGGAAATAAAGTTATTTCTTATTTAATCAATGGGCTGAATGAGTTTTTCTCCGTTTAACAGACTGCAGAAGGGAGTGGTGGGCGTGATGAAGATGAATAAGCAGGGACGTTATTTAGATTGTGGGTTTTTGCATCCCTCTCTTTGCAGCAACTGTGCATTTCACAAGATAACTTAGATTATAATTCATAATGGCGGCTGCACTAAAACAAATCAAGTTCTCATATTTTCTGCTGAGAAAAGTAACTTAAACCAGCCTTAAGGTGGTTTCCTGGTCTTTGCTGGTTTAAGATAGACTTCCAGTCCATCATTTAGCTGGTCTACAAGCTGGTCTCCTAACTTGACCTGCTGAAATGTGCCCAAAACTCTTTTAAATCCAACCAGCAGACAGCATAATTATGCTGAGATGCCAGCAAACCTGCTCAGGCTGATTTAAGGTGTTTTATTTCAGTGGGGTTGCTAATATACTTTTAGTAATCAGTAATTTAGTACTTTTATTTTTTATTTTTTTAAAGCTATCAGAATCACATAGTGTATACTTATGGCTTGCTTACAAAAATCTAATATGTAGTTGTTAACTTGATTCAAAACGATACATACATTAGGGATACATTAGCATGCTATCAGTATCCAGGGTGCTTTGTTGCGCTGTGGTCACATTTTCAAGTATCCGTGTTTTTAATCGTCCTCTAAAGTAGCGAGAAATCGTTGCAAATTTTATTCCAAGCAGAGCCAGTAGTGACTGTGCGCCAGTTTGGGCTAACTTACATTACATATATTTCCTCCAGGTTGGACTGACTGACTACAGTGACTCACTCAACTAAACTGTGTTCCCCCCCCCCCCCCTTTTTGCAGTGATTACTCATTAAAATAATACATTTCTATGTCTTAATGAGATAGTAGCTGTTTAGACAAAAACTTTGATAGGCCAGATGATGTATTAATGTTTTTTTTGTTGTTGTTGTTGTTGTAATTTTCTAAATTTTTTTGGATAAGCTACAAGAACTCTAAAATGCTAAAGTGGTCAATGATTCATCTCCAGGAACCATTATCTTTTGTATATATTTTTACATTTTCTGCACAAGACATTTTGCGTTGTACCTGCTGTATGTACATTGCATAGAAGCAAATGTTTGCCCCTGTTTTTCGACAGAGATTGCTTATGAGTATTGGTTTTCCATCTGGTTTTGTCCTCGGGATGTTATTTTTAACGCTTTGTTATTTTTGGTCTGCTATTTGTGTATCACTCACCTTGCTTCCTCTGCAGAGGTTGTGGCTTTTAACCACAATGTCAACGTTTCTGACTGACAGTTATTACTTATAAATAGTGTGTCATTTTTAACACCCTTTTTTATACCAAATGGCAGTTCTTTAAAAAAAAAGTTTATTATGTGGATAATTGTAAAAACATCAGTCTTCTTACAATACTCTGTGTGCAGCTACATGCACACTCTTCAAGAAATATCTTTTGCACCTATGCTCTTTTATCTCAATAACTTATTTTTAGTTGCAATATCTCATGAAAATGTGATTGCACCTTACAGATGCATATGGTTACAGCCAAAACAACAGCATCTCACTAGCTCTGAGCAACCCCTGCCCAACCTCCCAGTACCACAATCTCCAGACCAGCCCTTCCATGTCGATATCCATCAGTCAGCCATCCTCATTCTCCCCTCAAGATGACATGAGATCAGTGGGTTATTTCCAAACATCCGGCACCAGGTCCAATGGAGCTCCCACATTGGAAAGTCCACGCATTGAGATAACAGCTTACGGGCAGTTCCCCGAGGACGAAGTGGAGGAGAACAGCGTTCCCGTGACCAAGCGAGTCAATTCCATAGTGACATTAACTTTGCCAAGCATTGACGGTTATCGTGACCCCACTTGCCTCAGCCCGGCGAGCAGCATGTCTTCCCGTAGCTGCCATTCAGATGCATCTTCGTACGAATCAGGCTTCTCGTACAACTACGACAACTCGCCGCAGAACTCGCCCTGGCAGTCTCCCTGTGTCTCCCCGAAAGGTTCCTCATCTCTGCAGTCTTGCACACTTGGTGCTTCTCCACGTCATTCTCCCTCCGGTTCTCCCCGTACCAGTATAACCGACGACAGCTGGATGGGCACCCGAGGCTCACGACCGAATTCTCCTTGTGGTGGTAAACGGAAGTACAGCTTCAACGGTGGCCCATCGCACAAGTACCATCCGCACTCGCCAAATCAATCCCCGGGGCTGTCGCCACACACTTCGCCCCGTCTCAGCGTGACGGAGGACAACTGGCTGCCCAACACCAATCAGTACACCAACTCTGCCATTGTTGCCGCCATTAATGCCCTCACCACAGATGGAATAGCAGATCTTGGGGAGGGGATCCCTTTGAAGTCCCGCAAGACCAGTCTGGAGCACAGCGCCTCGATGAACCTGAAAGTAGAACCAGGTGGAGAGGAGACAGGATCCCTGGAGCTTTGCCAGGAGGACTTCTCCTCAGCACGCCTGCCCTTCAAAAAAGAGACCTACTGCAGCGGCTTCTTGGATGTGCCCCAACACCCATATTGGTCCAAGCCCAAGCCTTACATCAGGTTGGTAGCACATAATATATATATATATATATTTTTTTTTTTATTCCAAATATTTCAGCCACTTATCTGTGCTAACCAAAGTTCTTTCTTTCTCTTTGCCTCATTACTCTCTCACTCTTATTTTCGAAGTCCATCGTTGCCTGCTCTTGATTGGCAGTTGCCTTCCAGTTCAGGGCCGTACAGCCTGCAGATTGAGGTCCAACCCAAGTCCCATCACCGTGCTCACTACGAGACTGAAGGCAGCAGAGGGGCCGTAAAAGCACTAGCGGGAGGGCATCCAGTGGTCCAGGTATACGTTCAGAGTCTCTCAGAGGCAGTGGGGGTTCTCAAAGAAATAGTTCACCCAAAAATGAAGTCTGTCATCATTTATTAATCGTTATGAAGTTCCAAACCTTTACAACTTTCTTTCTTCTGAGGAATAATGTTTCAACTGCTTTTTTCCATAATATGAAAAGAAGTGGGGTCCAAAACAGCATTGGACTGCAATGAATTTCATTGTATGGACAAATAAATATTGAGACATTTTTCAAAATATCTGCTTTTGAGTTCCACAGAAGAAAGTTATATCGGTTTTGAATGACATGAGGGCAAGTAAATGATCACAGAATCTCCTTAAGCCTAAAAGGGGTAATTTACCACTGGTAATGTGGGCTTTTAATAATGGTGTTTTTAATAATGACATTTTGTCAAAAAGTCCTGCAGACTTTAAAAAGGGATATTTGGGTGCGGGTACATATTATTCATTTATATGTATTATGACATTATAACAATACAAAGCTGGTTGAAAATCAGTGTAAACAAGAATATCAAATGCAGGAAATTATTAGTTAGATTGCAGTATAAGTCTTCTAGTAATATACATTATAGCACAAACGTTTGGGGTCATTACATTTTTTTTCTTTGAAAGTAGTCTCTTATGCTTAACAAGGCTGTGTTTATTTGATCAAAAACACAGTATATTTTGAAATATTCTTACAATTTAAAATAACTGTTTTCTATTTTAATATATTTTAAAATGTAATTTATTCCTGCAATGACAAAGCTGAATTTTCAGCATCATTACTCCAGTCTTCAGTGTCACATAATCCTTCAGAAATCATTATAATATGCTGATTTGGTGCTCAAGAAACATTTCTCATTGTCAGTGCTGAAAAAGTTGTGCTGCTTAATATTTGTATATTTTTTTCAGGATTTCTATGATGAATACAAGTTCAAAAGAACAGCATTTAATTTGAAATAGAAGAAAATCTTACTGACCCTAAAATGTTTAACAGTAATGTATATATACACTTTAATACAATAGCTACCATTCATTTGGGAGATTTTCACAGAATGTCTTATTTTTAACCATTTTTAGTCAACATCCTGCAACATCCTCTCTATGATGTGCCATGGTGGTACATATTCACTCTCTCATTGTTTTTGTTTTTGTTTTTGTTGATGTAAGAAAACTTCCTTGTATTTAAATCACAGTGTAGACACACTGTGATTTAAACCCTTATATAATATACTGCTCGTTATACTGCCATGTCAAAGTTCAGGAAGCGTGTCTGAAGTACTTCTGATATTTCACAAGACCACAGTGTCATGGTGTCCATCCATTCTGCTTAACAGACACAGGTGAGTCGCGAACCTCATTTGCTTTCGTAGCTGAATCATGGGTATTGAGCGCACGAGTTGGTTGCAGATGCTCACTAATGGATAACAGAATTCCTAAAGACAGGAGTCGTGGTTTTATCTGAAAAAAAAAAAATCAGTGTGGTTGGACGTGACTCTTGAGGTTGGCGAACCACAGTCTCCACGACCGGTTTATTTACTAAAATCGCTGTTAAAGGTGAACTCAACATTTCGGTGTACATCTGTGGCTGCTGGGTACTTGAATTCAAAATAATGAGGTGCTAATGATTGTGAATACGTGGCTCAGTGCGACTCCCGTCTGAAAAAACAAGGTCCTCTCACCCTCGTGTTTTATTTTTTTTTTTATTCATTGCTGTTTCCGGCCTAGTGCACAGGCTGCCTTTTGTTTAGCTGAAGGTCCTTGTACTGCACTGACATCATGTGCAACAGCATCGTGTGGAGGCGTCCAGTCTCCGCTGTACACAGTTCTGGCAGGCTAGTAAAAGGGGAGTGTTTCGGAAGAGCCCCAAACAAGCTTGTCCCATTCTGTAAACCATCAGATTAGAAAGCGCTGGTTCTTCTTTTAGCGGACGGCACCTCCCTTCATGCTCTGTCACCACTGATGTCCTCCGCAGAGGATCTCAGTCAATGTGCAAGTTATTTTATGACCTTCAGCAGAGTTGTTGAAAGTACTTTGACAGTAATTTTTGGGTTGTATCAAAGTATTTCAAATAAAGTTCTACTTTTTCACAAACCAAATAGACCATTATAATTTGCACCCTGATCTTAATGAATCAGCTGTATTTTCAGTATTTTAAGCACCTACTTCATGTATTCCCATAACTATGTGAGTCACTATAGCCTCAGAGTTAGTCTTAGAGCCACCATCCCCCAACCCCCCACCACCACCCACCACCCCTTTCTGTCTCTCCACTTGGGGTTTAGTGGTCAGGATTTTTGTACCCATGCTGCTAGAGCCCCGTCTCTCTTTTTCTCTCTCCCCCTGCTCGGGTTCCTGGTGGTTTCTGTCAGATTTTTTGTATCCTGGATGCAGTTTGACCACATGCGCCATCGAATTGACGGTAGACGTGAGTGTGTAGCCTCTGAAGTAAGTCTGCCGCACCACAGCTATGTGCTTCCACGTCTGCGCTTAAGTCTCAAACTTCTCAAAGAACAGCTCTGTCAACAAAAATCACTGCCGTAACTGGAAAAAGTGATGAAATCCCTAAATATAGGTTTGGTATGTACAAGCAGTGCTTCCACATTTATTATATTCAGACTGGTTTTATCTCATAGGCCTACTGTGACTGGGATGATCTTTATTACTTTTTTTTTGGTAAATACTGCTAGTAGAGTTTTTATTTGGTTGAGTCTATTTAGGACTTATTTTATCATTGTAATGGGTCTCATTTGCTAACAATTGCATACTCAAGTGTTCTTAATTGTGCAAAAAGGCTCAGAAATGCGTTATAATATTTTATAATAATAAATTTTTGTGATGGTTAATGTAGTTAAATTAACAACTCATTTACAAATATGTAAAAAATAATAAAATAAAATAATTTTTCAAGTATTGCACTAAGAATTTAGTTGGTTCTAAATTTGAACTTCATTTCAGAAAAAAACAAATTTGTGAACTTATATTTATGAATCATGATTTTATTGTTTTAATACATGCATAAGCACTATTAGTGAATGAGCCCAAGGAGAAGAACAGTTGGTCTTGCTCAATATCACTTGAGATGTAACCTCTTCCAGTAAGAATTTTTTCACTGATTCTGTCCAGTAACTCTTCAAAGAAGCCCGTGTTGCAGATCTTCTTTTTTTCCTCAAGCTGTTTCCCTCATATGCCACAGATGTGCCACGGAGGTTGAGAGCTTGAGTGGGTGAGAACTGACCCACAGCACTTGGAGGTGTGGACATACTGCTCTGAACTCCGTGCAATGAGCGGAAAGAGTCTTGGCATTCCTCTAGTGGGTGATAATGTACTGAAGTGAGGGGAGGGTTCTGAGAGTGCGAACTCTCGGGCCTCTGTCTTTCTGGCCTGTGCACTCCCTATTGCCTGAATAAACACAAATGCCAGGCTTAAACATATCTGCTTAGATAAATATACAGACTGGTTCAGGACTTTCACCACAGATTCTGACCACCCTCCTTGAGGATCTCCATACATCAGCTGTGTATCATGGAGATTTGACCAAATTTGCTTGAGTTTTGAAAATACATTTTCCCATACAAATTCTTACTTCATATTTACATCAATAATTTATGATTTACAATAACTTTGGTCTTTTTTATGGTTTTCCATTTGTCATTTGTTCTAATTTGTTTGACCCAAAATATTTGAATAGTAGTGTATGTGTATGAGAAACAGGTTTTTGGTCCAGTAAAATTTCAGTGTGGGCGGGACTTCTTTCGACATGCTGAAGAAATAAAAACCAAGCAACTGACAAAATGTAGCTTCATTTTGTAGCTGTTTTGTTAAGCAACAGGACATTTTGTTGATTGTTTGGTTTCTATTTATGCAGCGCCCACTTTGAAAGTCCAAAAATCCCATTTTACATTAAACAACATCTGAATGGCTGTGATTGTCACTTTCTTGTTCACTGTGGATAGACAAGCCGCTCGAAACAGGTTATGCCAATAAATTCATATCTGTACCTTTCAGCTTCATGGCTACATGGAGAGTGAGCCTCTGACCCTACAGCTGTTTATTGGGACAGCAGACGACCGTCTTCTCCGGCCCCACGCCTTCTACCAGGTCCACCGTATAACCGGGAAGACCGTGTCCACACCAAGCCACGAGGTCATACAGTCCAACGCCAAAGTTCTTGAGATTCCTCTATTGCCTGAGAGCAACATGAGGGCCATGTGAGTATGCGTGTACACTCCAAAAAGACACTAAGAAACAGGAAAAACACAGAGAAACTTACAAGCCCGGTGGGGGGAAATGGTTGTACCTCATAATTATGTATATATACATGCATCCTGTGCATATTTCCTTCAATAAACAACATAAACAAACACCGCCGATCCTCCTGTTGTGAAGGCAGTTGCTAAGCAGAAGTGTGTTTTTGTGTGTGCGAGGAGTCCCAGCGCCATGGGTTTCCCTTGTATGAGCTCCAGGGCTTGTGTTTCAAGAGGCTTCTGGTCGCATGGAGCCTGTAATGGTGCGATGGGGTCTGTTCTGCAAGCCAGGCGGTAGCGGTCTTACCAACTCAGCATTTTCTTCCCACTCTATAATGGATGTAACACTTAACTTACACACAAAAAAAAAACCACCCCTCTGGATCCTGTTTCAGAGATTTCTGGGGAGCATTCCCGCTTTGTCACGTTTCTGTAGTAAAGCCAACAAGTGGGTATGTCCCTGTGTCAGTGCAGTTTAGCCTTCTTTTTTTTTTTTAACTCTTTAGCGTTTCATTTCACGTTTTCTTTTGATTGGAGAGAAAATGCTTTTTTTTTTACTTTCTATATAGAGTTCGGTTTGGACACATAGTGTTGAAATTGGGAGGCTGGAAGCTCAACAGGGGCAGTTGTTCTGGAAAAGGAATGATGAATATAACCTCGCTCTATTATAGTAGCTGTATAATTAATAATTTGGTAGCCTTATATAATTCAGCTTATGATTCCAGATTTATTTATTATATAACTAATTAGATTATATTTTTATATTTTTTGTCTTTTATATTATATATTTGCATATTTTATTTTATATGAGATCTTTTAAATAATTGTCATTTTCATCTAAAATCTGGATGACACCTAGAGCACATTGTGCTCATCCTCACCACATACACATGGAAACATTAATATCTGACTTTCCAGTCTCTGTACTGCATCAACATATCAATCATATTCAGTGCTTTCAGAGTTCCTGTTTTTTCGTAAAAGTAAGCTTTAAGAATAATTTTACTCATGTGCATCTTAAATAAAGGGCCCTAAATGTTTCTTCAATGAGATGCAGAACTTTGACAGGCTTTACAAATATTTCTTTGCTTTAGACAGGTATTTACTCACATTGACTTGGAGGATTTGAACATTTAATGGAGAAAGTAAACTTTTCATGGATTTTTTTGACAATCTCTGCCATGTCAGAAGCAGAAATTGGAAGAGACGAGAGAGAAAGGGAATTTATTTATGCAGCGCAGAACAAGGGCCAGGCGTAATTTTGGCTGAAATGGTACAAAACAATTCAGGCAATAAATTAAACGTTTACACTGTTCCGAGAAAATGTTTATTAAACAACTGTCTAATGATATTTACCGCACATTTTTGTACTTCTGAAAGGATTTGTTGAGTCTATACCTCAAACACGTAACGGTTTTTTCTGTGCCACAGAATCGACTGCGCTGGAATTCTCAAGCTGCGTAACTCAGACATCGAGCTCCGGAAGGGCGAGACAGACATCGGACGGAAGAACACGCGTGTGAAGATGGTGTTCCGTGCCCACATCAACCAACCTAATGGCAGGATGGTGTCCTTACAGGTGGCATCTAACCCCATTGAGTGCTGTGAGTCATGCCACTAAATCTCACTAAATCCTTTTTTTGTTTTTGGCTGTTTTTATTCAATATGACTAACATGGCATTCAGATACTTTTTATCAGTTAATTCATTCCCTGGCAATCAAACACATGACCTTGCTAGCACTGTGCTCTACTTACAGGAATGCTGTATTTAGATGGGTTGAATCAATAAATCAAAGACAGATTTTTTGCTCTAATAATTGCCAGGCCTGATCAATTGCTATGAGTTAAATGAGAAACATCACTAGAAAATGAGCACAGCTCATAAAATGTGAGTGATTTCTGGATTAGAGCCAGTTAAAGGCTGAACATGTATGAAAGACATATAAAGCCTATATCAACAGCATATATCAAGTAAAATTTTCAAAATTGCAGACTGAACTACTTCATATGTATATATATATATATAGTCAAAAGTTCAAATGGTTGGGTCAGTAAGATTTTTCGTTTTAAGAAATTAATAAACCATAAATTGATCAAAAGTGACAGTAAAGACAATTACATTGTTAAAAAAATTGCTATTTTTTAGCATTTATATTTATCAGAGAATCCTGAAAAAAAAGTATCATAGTTTTCACAAAGATATTAAGCAACTGTGATAATAATAAGAAATGTTTCCTGAGCACCAAATCAGCATATTATAATGATTTATGAAGGATCATATGACTCTGAAGATGGAGTATTGGCTGCTGAAAATATGTACAGTAAATTAACATACTTTCCAGAAGGCCAACAATTCACAAAAAAAAAAAAAATGTATTGGTCTTATGAAGTATTCTAATTTGTTGAGATAGTGAATTGGTGGGTTTTGTTAAATGTGAGCCAAAATCACCACAATTAAAAGAACCAAAGACTTAAACTAATTCCGTCTGTGTGCATTGAATTTATTTAATACACAAGTTTCACAATTTGAGTTGAATTACTGAAATGAACTTTTCCACGACATTCTAATTTATTGAGATGCACCTGTACATTTACACATTTTATTTTCTCAAAATTTCCAGTTCCATTTAACTCCATGAGATTGAACTCCTTACCCTCCAGTTGTACAGTAGAAAGTACAGATGGGAATGTATACAGATTTGGCACATTTACATCTCTTTCCTCGCTTTCTTTCTGTCTCTTTATCCTCCTTGCAGCCCAGCGCTCAGCACAGGAGCTGCCCCTCGTGGATAAACAGAGCATGGAAAGCTGTGCCGCCTCAGGGGGGGAACAGATGTTTCTCAGTGGGCACAACTTCCAGCCCGACTCCAAGGTGGTGTTTGTGGAGCGAGCACAAGGTAGTGAACACGGAGCTGTGATTGTGTGTGTGTGTGTGAGCAATAGGAATTGTTTTGAAATTGCCTCTCTTTTGGGAGGTTTCTGAAGATAAAGCTTTAGGGACAAAGGCTGAATCCCAATTCGCATACTTCCCCAAAGTACAAGGATATACGCAATGCTGACGATGGTTAATAACATAGTTTTAAGTGTGATGTAAACCCGTACATGAGTATTGGGTTATAATTAGGCCCACAAGGAATCTCTGCATCATTCGCAAAGTACATCTCCCACCCCTTGCATGTTAATTAAATATTTTGGCTTATTGATTATGCTTTTAGTTGCCAAAATGTGTCTAGTACTCTTAGCTCCATTTTACACATCACTTTTGACCAAAACCCATTTCACAGATTGTCGCCCTAAAAACAAAAACTGATTCTGTCTTGGCCTGGTCATAATATTACGTTTCAATAGCGCATCATAGAACAATCGCAAACCAATCCTCTTGCGTAGTTCTAGAGGATCTGGACAATATTAGGCCAAAAAGCATGTGTGGATGCCATCTGGACATATTTGGCTTGCTGTTTTCAATGCACAATGATTTGGGATGGATTCTAACCTTGCATACTGTATACGACGGATAGCAAGGAAACTGGGATCGAGGCAAACACTGCTTAACTTTTACGTTTTAACTAAATCATTTTAACTTTTAACATTTCAGTATGTTATTTCTGGGACACATGTAGCATAAAACTGAACTGCAAAAACTTCCCAATTTCTCAAATACTCTCCTGTCTTCCATTTTTTGGATGAACACTTAATAACTGACAACATGTAACAGGGTAGTAACTGATTACATGTTATCTGGGTTATGTAATCAGATTCCAAAAATGTTGTAATTGGATTATAAAATGCTCATTATCAGATTACAGTTACTTACAAGTCCCCCTGAGATTTAAAGTTAAAATTTAAATAATTTAACAACACATTTGCATGTTCTCTAATGTCAATTAATGGTCATATTGACATGCAAGTAAACAAATAAAATATTTCAAATTTGGACGTTAAAGTGTTTTATTTTGTTTTTATTTTAAAATGATTTATTCATTTTAATTTAAAATTTTTATGATTTAATTCATTATTAGCCCCCCCCTCAAAAAAAGTCAAGTAATGCTTAATGCATTTGATGATGATGACAACAAAGAACTGAATTTATTTAATTTCTTTTATTTTTTTAATAACAATAATCACATTTAAAGTTAGTTTAAAAGTAATCTAAAAGTGGCCCAAAAGTAGTCAGAATACATTAACTGAA